AACTACCCTTCGGTCCTAACAACCGAGCTTGGGGACTATTCCCTCCTACTACCACTATCACATATAACATATCATGCCAACATATAAACATATCATCACACGCTATCAGACATATCTGGGGTGTCTGACCTACCCTTCGGTCCTAACAACCGAACTCTACTACCATCACATATAACATATCATGCCAGCATATAACATATCAGGTAGTAGCAAACCTAGATGATATCACAAAGACAATCATCTAACATACAACCCCTACTGGTGGGCCGACATTGTGGCCGTAGACCCACCGCTACTGGAAGGTAACTCACCTCACATTACTGAAGTCCTGAAAACACAATCCCACACTTGCTGAAGTCCCGCAAACTCGACCCCAGCTGTTGGCTGACAGATTCCCGAACTGTCAACACCAAAATAACACCCAATTAATAATTGGGTCCCAATACATAACCATAATACATTCTTAGGGTAGTTACTACATTACCCCCAGTTTGGCTTATTCAAGCCAAAGGCCCAATCCGTAGGCCCAAAGTCAACTAGGAATCAAAGCCCAGCATATGGCCTAATTTTCCAAATTGGGCCCAGGCCCATATGTGGTCTTATGACCCAACATAATACAATCATTAAGGCCCAACTATGGTTCATCTATGGCCTAATTTTCCAAATTGGGCCCAACCCCTTACATGGGACTTACCCTAGGCCCATTAAATTATTTTAGCCCATATAATTATTCTTGGATGACCCATTAATAATCCAATCATTAAGGCCCAATAGAAAGGCCCAACAATAAACCCAAGTGAAGTTAGGGTTTCACATAAAATGCCGATTAGGGTTAAGTTTCCTACTTAACCCATTACGAAATTATTCCTCTAAGGACTTAATCCATTAAGTCCATCATTCTTCAAAATAAGTCGTATGGTGTGATTGGGCTTAATCACACAATTCCATTCCAATGGCCCAAATGTGGATCTCGATAAGTCCAAGCCCATAATCCCAAATTAGAGTTTTCACATGAAATGATGATTAAGGTTCAGTGTTTCTTTCTTAACCAATTAAGGACTTAATCCATTAAGTCCATAATGCCTTACGCTAGTTTGCCAATGATTATTAATTATTATTTCAGATTTAATAATTAATTCTCGTGTGTGTCCCAAGCAATTTCCACAAATTAGGGTTTTATTGGCATTATGGCTTTTCCAACCCAAATATTAGTCCATTTATCAATTTGTTGGGCTTTTAGGTCCATTAAGGCTTTATTGGGCCTATCAAGCCCACTAGAATGTCATCAAGCCCATTTGGGTTTTATTGGGCCCATTAGGCTGACAAGGCCCATTAGGGTTTCAAGCATCCCCAATCGAGTCAACTCACAAGACCAGCACACCGCCACCTGACACGGCAGCCGGTGGCGGCAGCCACCACCCTACGGTGGTGGTTTGAGTTTCTTTTCATTATTCCACTTTGTAATTACACTTTACAATGCTAAATCTCAAATAAACACACACACACACACACTATTACAATTACATATAGACAACAACCTAATGGCGGCCGGCGGCGGCACATGGTGGTTATACTCGATTTTCTGGCCAAACAAACACCATACACAACACACATACATGCTTCAGATTGCGAGATGCACCCCAGCCACCCACCTGGTGGCTCACAACGACAACAACAATAGCTTTTGGGACGGCAGCCACCACCTAACGGTGGTGGTGGTGATCTCTTTTGTTTCTCAGTCAAGTAGACACGCAAACCACACAGATCTTGAAGCAGAAACACGCCCCACATCCTTTTGCTCGTACACATAAACCCAACACCCACCTGTGGTGGGTGGCGATGGCAACAACACAGAAAACAGGCGGCATATTGCGATGACTGCCACCATGGCCGGTTGCCATGGTGGTTCTCCATGACCCAACTCGACAGGACTCCCCCCCACAGCACACCCATGTCGCACACGAACCTTGAACTAAACCATCACTCACCGGTGATAACACGAAATGCCATGAGTCCCTCCACCCACAAGGCGGCCGACGACAAGATGAATAGAAGAAGAAGAACAATAGCAACGATTTAGAACAGTTACAACGGTTTCTCGGCAGTTGGCTCGCGACTCCGACCATGGCTACGAGGCAGTCGATCGGTCTTTGGCATGCTTCGAGTTCATCGGCACTCGTCAGGGGGGAAACATCTCCGGTGGCACACCATTCGGTCGACGGGAGGTGTAGCGGCGGCGGCTAAGGGGTCATAAGGATGGCGGCTGTGAAGAAACGATTAGATTTAGGGTTCAAGAATGGGTGATGGGTTTATATACCCGGTCCCCTTAGCTACTTTCCATAATACCATCTTTAGTCCCTCCATTCCCTTTTCTTTCAAAATAAACCCCCATAGTTACCATTTAAACCCTGAACTCGAAAACCCCTTTCAAATTAAGTCCCATCTTTTACCAAACAATCCCCATCTTCTAAAATCTTTGCAATTAGCTCCTCGAGACCATCCTTTCATACATAATTATTTATTTCAGGACTACCATTTATTCATTAATTTATTTATTTAACTAATAAATAAACGGGTGTTACATTTCACTACTAAAGAAAATATAAGATTTTCTTGGAAAACTTACAAACATTTTCATAGATTTCAAAGACCAGTTTGTAGTACAAGAACATTCTTATGAACTCACCAACTTAAATGTTGATACACTTTCAAAATTGATTGTATTCTCAGGGAACCAGTAGACAGGTACACCCGCAGGCTCTTGAGAATACGGAGCTTATAGAGTCACGTCTTTTATACTTTGGTTACACTTTTACTGTTATACAAATTATGTATCGAACAGATGTAAATACCTTATATATTTAATGTTGGTTGTCTTTACTTTGATTACTATGATGCAATTGTTGTAATACTGTACATGACGTCCTCCACCCCGAACGTTTCCGCCGTCTCGGTTTGGGGGTGTAACATACATATATATATATATATATATATATATATATATATATATATATATATATATATATATATATCCTATGGTTCAATCCGATTTTATATGACATGAAAATTTTGAAACTGTAACTCAAATTGTTCATTATATTTTCAAAAATTTGAAGTCGCAAGCAAAACCATAAAGAAAGATATAAACTGTGAAACCAAATCGAAGTTAGTTTCACGGTTTCAAACCAAACCATAAACACCCCTAAGGGAGAGGTAGATGCACGATAGATCGAGTCACAAATATGTAATATTGACAATGACGGTGGTAAGATAGACAGAGTGATGGAGAAAGCCGATGAGATTTGGAGATAAGTCAATGGGAAGGCGGAGGAGGCCTTTCGACGACTGGAAGCAGATGAGGAAGAGGTCTTGCTGGCGGGATGGAGGGTGTTATTGGTGGTGTAGGAGAAGGAAGAGAGAGATCCAAAAGAGGAAACTGATTGTCCTACTTTAGCATTCTTTGTATCATTTTCATGTCAACGAAAGAAATTGTTTCTCATGTTCAAAGAATGAAAAAGAAAAAGGCAGAAATAAGGACATTTTTTGTAATTTTACAGTACATAACATAACTTCTTACTTCTTAGACAATAAGTGCCTCAATGACCTTTGGTGTAAGATTTGGAAACTATAAGGACCAACAATGTCAATTTTTAAAAATGTGTACCAAATGTGCAGATTGGAGCAAACCACAGGGACCAAATCTACAATTTACTCTTACATCTTTTGTAACTTGGTCAAAATGCCCCCAAGCATTAATTTTTCAGAAATCTGTCCTCAAATTATTCTCTGATGTCAAATAAATGCACTCCAGTCTTCAAATGCAAACCCCAACTTGTAAGGTTTGTATGAACTCCGCTCAAAGCGAGAGATAAAGATAGGGAGCTGGGATAATGTTGATAACAGGAAGAGAAATTACATCTTCATGGTCTCTTTGTTGCAACTTACCAACTCAATCTCGCAATTCGATTCATACCTCTAGAAATCTTCGAAACAGTTCATCCATTTGCAGAACAACACTTTCTGTCCAAGGAAAACCCAACGCTCTCTTTTCATTATCTTCATCCACCAGGTATTAGCCACATAACTTTCTTCGTGTTTTCACTTTCGAGATACCGTAAATTTCTCATTTTTATCATTTAATTGAATCGCAATGTCTTCCTGCAAATGGGCGTTTTCAAAAATTCAGTTCTGTTGGGAACTCAGGTGTTGTTAAGTATGATTAGAAACAAATTGCGCTTTATCGTACATGTTTTTTTTTTTCTAATAACTTCAAATTCGTTGCCGATTTGATGTTCTTGATTATGATTTGAACCGTTGCACTTTGTTACTACAAATGGGTCATTCCCAAAACTCGATGTGATTGTGAAGTTAGTATTCTTGATAACGATTGGAAATCACTTGCCCCTCATCACTGTAACCTGCCCTAAGAAATTCATTGGGAATTTGATCTTTTACCTCTTGAATTTACCAGTGTAGATCATTAAGGAACGTAGTATGATTCATCGAACCATTTTATTTCCAAATACGACTAATAAAACAATCTTATTCATGTACAACATATATTCTTTGGTTGCTTTTCTCGTATTTTGACAATTCTTTTTGTATTTTCAGCTGTGAGAGCTCTAATTTTGATCCACTAGGTATCAATTCAGGTAAACTATTCAATCTGAATTCCACTTGGGACAATGTTTTAGGCTTGTTTTCAGAAAGATTTGATAGCAGCTCAAGTACAAGAAACGAAAAATCTCCATCATCTAAAGGAGCAGCAGGTTTGAATCTTTTCTATCGCCTTTTCCATTCCTTCCAAAATCAAATCAGAATTATGGACGATTCTTTGTTTTCAACAGCTGCAATAGAGGACACATCCATTGATTTTGGCGACTTTTTCAAAGGGCCATTACCTGGAAAATTCCTCAAACTTTTAGGGTTTTTGGCGTTATCTAGACTCGGGATTTATATACCCCTTGGTGGAGTGAATCGAGAAGCATTTGTTGGAAATTTGGATCAAAATAGTATTCTAAGTACTTTGGATACGTTTTCTGGAGGTGGAATTGGTCGACTTGGAATATGTTCACTCGGAATTGTCCCTTTTATCAATGCATCAATCGTGTTTCAACTTCTTACACAAATTTACCCTAAATTACAAGAACTTCAAAAGAGAGAAGGTGAAGCAGGAAGAAAGAAAATCCTTGCATATACTCGTTATGCTTCAGTTGGATTTGCTCTTGTCCAGGTATAAAATTACATTATTACCCTTTTTGTGATTCCATTCCATCATTCGAAACAGATTACAAAGTATTAATCTAATTTAGTTATTTACATGATCAGGCGATTGGTCAAGCTCTGTTTCTTAAACCTTATGTGGATGATTTCAGCAGTGAATGGGTGATATCTACTGTTGTTTTGTTAACACTTGGATCTGTATTTACAACATTTATTGGTGAAAGAATCACAGATTTGAAACTTGGAAATGGCACATCACTTCTTATATTTACAAGCATTATCTCCTATTTGCCTGCATCTTTTGGAAGAACAGTTGCAGAAGCTTTTCAAGATGGAAACTATCTTGGCCTAATTGCCATCATCATCTCCTTCTTTCTTCTAGTTCTTAGCATTGTCTATGTTCAGGTTATCCTTTTCTTTTTCTGTTTTTAAACTAATTTACATAAATGGTCCTTGTGCTTTTAGCTTTTGATCCTTATTTCAAGGCTTCATATCGATTTTGGTCTCTGTTTGAAGTTTTTATATAAGTTTTGGTCTTTATTCTAAGGTTTCAGGGACCAAAATCGACAAAACCTTGAAATAAGGATGAAATGTTGAAAAAAAGTTTCAATTTTGGACTAAATATGGTAAAAATAGAAAGCATGGGGACCAGTTTTGTAATTTACTATAAAGTAGATTATCTATTTTGGTAAAAAGAGTAAAGTATGTTGCTCTTTTCTGCAATTTGTGGCCATTTTGGTCCTTATTTCAAGTTCAAAGGAACAAAATCGACATGAAAATTTGAAATAAGGAGGAAAATTGAAAAAAGTAATGATTTTGGACTAAACACGGTAAAAATCAGAAAACATTGGGACCAGTTTTGTAATTTACTCTAAAGTGCATTATCTATTTTGGTAAAAAGAATAAAAGTATGTTGCTCTTTTCTGCAATTTGCCGATTTTGGTCCTTATTTCAAGTTCAAGGGAGCAAAATCGACATGAAAATTTGAAACAAGGACCAAAATTGAAAAAGGTTTTGATTTTGCACTAAACACATCAAAAATCAGAAATCACAGGGACCATTTTTGTACTTTACTCTTAGTTTTTATCTTAAAAAAACAATTAATGAATAATATATTTTTGGCTATGAACTCTTTCAGGAAGCTGAAAGAAAGATTCCACTGAATTATGCTTCACGATACAGTAGTCGAACAGGAGGGATTCAGAAATCTGCTTATTTGCCATTCAAGGTTTGAATTTTTTTTTTAAATAAATTATTTTTCTGGATAACGATTTATTAAAAAATTCAAGGGTATTTTGGTCAGGTGAATAGTTCAGGAGTGATGCCGATTATCTTTTCCACGTCATCTTTGGCTCTTCCTGCCACTTTGGCACGGTTTACTGGTTTAAATGTGCTAAAAAATGCCGCTGTGGGTTTGACCCCAGGGGGTAAGAATTAAAATTAAAATCTCTATATTTTGTTTGTGGATTCCGGTTTGAATTGGAATTGCTGATTCCATTCAATTCGCAAATCTAATGTAAACTATATTTAATAATTTTAGGTGCATTTTATCTCCCAACAAACGTTTTATTAATCGCATTCTTCAACTATTACTACACTTTCCTCCAATTGGACCCCGATGACGTCAGCGAACAATTGAAACGCCAAGGCGCCTCCATTCCACTTGTCCGACCCGGGAAAAACACAGCCGCATTCATCAAAACGGTAATTTCTTCGGGTTTTTTTTTTTTTTTTTTTTCTTTTCAATTTCATAATCACGAAAATATTAAATATTTTTGTTGTTCGATTAAATAAAAGTGTTTGTTGGGTTTGATTTAGGTTTTGAGTCGGATATCGGTTTTAGGGTCGGTGTTTTTGGCGATTCTTGCAGCGGGCCCCGCTGTTGTGGAACAAACGACACATTTGACGGCCTTTCGAGGATTCGCAGGTACTTCGGTTTTGATATTGGTTGGTTGTGCCACCGACACTGCAAGAAAAGTTCAAGCGGAGATAATTTCTCAAAAGTATAAGAACATTGAGTTCTATGAGATTGATAAAGATATAACCTTTTAATTTTTAAACATCGTGACATGTAATTTTTATTCAAACATTGTTCAAGTTAAATATCGTGTTGTACTTATTTCTATTGTACTACATTTTGATATGTACATAAAACCCTAATTTTGCTCTCAACATACAACAATGATGTTGTAAATTAATCAAATCTTACATCTTACAAACTTCAAAGATGTTACATCAACTTTAAATTTGGTTGAAGAACAACATGCTGAAAGAAAAAAACAAAGGAATTAGCGAAGATTTAATCAAACTTACAGTCAAGAAAAATAGAAAAGCATCATATACCTTGATTTGTGTACGATTATATGTATATGTGATATGAACACATCCATCACTTGCTTCAATTACAGCTGGATATGAGAATTCCATTCCATCGGTTTCCTCCAATGTCACAACCTCCCGCCAGGAATCACCATCATCGCCGGAAACCGCCACTTTCAACACCCCTCTGGAAACCGTATTATAAGCAAGCAAAACCCTTCCATCACTTAGCTTCACACCATCAATCCCTATAACAAAACCACATCATCTTTGTATATTTAGTTATTTAAAGTGGCATTTTTTTAATAAGAAATATGATTATCTTGACCTGAATTTGGATTTGGTAACTCAGTTGGAACAACAAAACTCCAGTTTTCACCTCCATCAAGTGATTCAGACATACAAACTCGACCAATTCCTTCAAATGATCTTAATAAAACACGAAGATTGCCTTTTGTGGTTTTGTAAGGAACCGGTTGGATTACACTAAGTGACTCGTTTTGAATATAAATTGGCCCATGTTTTTTCCATGATCTTCCTGAATCTGAAGTCATCTGTTTAAAAAAAATAACAAAGACTTAATGGGAAAAAACAAGGTCTTAATTAAAGACTTAATGGGAATAAACCTCCACCCAAGCACCCCACGAGTTCCAACTTTCAACAGATGAACCACATAGCAACTTCCCATTTTCAAGTAACAAAGGCTAAACAAAAAATAAACACAAGAGAATTAATTAACACCATGATTTATTTATTTATTAACATATAAATCCTTAAATAACACAAACATAATGGATTAAATGTACAACCTTGTTCTTTATTGGTCCTAGGATACCAGGAGGAAGTTGTTCTCTTTCACTCCAAGTTACACCACTATCATATGACCTTTTCATGCATCCACTCCATCTAAAACACCAAATCCATTAAAAAAACATTTTCTACTTTTTTGAAATTAATTCTTGAAATGTTATTTGGAAGATGAATAATAAGAAACCTACTTTTGAACCTCCTGCCCGATTTTATAAAAGAGAAGTAACTCATTGGAAGGAAGCTTAAATAATACAGGATTCCACATTGGAACATCTTCTTGCTCATCAGCAATAACAGGGGCATGCCAATAACCATCCTGCCCGAATCAAACCACTGCCCGATAAGTTTTGAAGGGCTAAATGCGTAAAATAGCAATATCCTTTTGTTTATAATTGGGTAGATTTTTTTAAGTAGAAATGAAAGTGGATGTTATAAATTATAGTTATAATATTATAATTATAATGAACAAATAAATGAAAGTATGTTAATGCCAATTTATACATACCTTGTGTGTTTGTAACCAAATCTTGACATCGGGTGCCCCTTCATATGAACCCCCAAAGTAGGCTACTAAATAACAGTCTTTATTAACCTAAAGTAAACAAAATCGGTTGACTTTCTTTATTAAGTTGTTCTTTCTATGTTAAGTAAAAAAGAAACTTTGATATATATAGTTTACCAGATTAAGTAGTACGTTACTTAATATAGAAAGTCAAGAAATTAACCACTACCTCAACTATTGTAGAAGCATGACAGCTATTAAAAGGAGCCGAGTTTTTTGTGAATGTGAACTCTTCTATCAATGGTTTCCATTGAGTATCCAAATCCTCTTCCATTTTGCTAAAATTTCTGCATTCGTAATTAAAATCAACCTATAAAAAGAAACTAGCAAATGGGGTATGTTGAGTTTGATCGAATGTCAACAGAAATACAATCTGCTGATTGAAAGAAAGAAAGAAAGAAAGAAAGAACACAAATCTGTTGACTTTGATCAAATTATGAGTAGAAACTACCTTTCAGAAAGAATACGAATTTGATGAAGCATTATTTGAGATTTGACTAATTTATGGGAAAGGATAGAACTGCTTCTACATAGGATAACAGGTTTAAAGATCTTGAGATTTGATATCACAGTATGCAATGCCAATAACAAGAACGATATCAACAGAATCATAAACCCTAATTTTGGCATTTCTAATTGTAGAAGAGTTGATTTCAAGAACATTAAAAAGTCTTCGACTTGAGCGTATAGACAAACATACAGCTCCATTAGAACCTCGTTCTTGAAGTGGGGATTCGCTCAAGAGTTTAAAATCTTATTTATTTGAATCAATCAATTTCTTGACAGATTTAGTTGGAAAAAATATCATTTATTGACTTCTATATCTACACCAAACCCATATAGAATCTTTATGATGGAATAACTACAGAAAGAGGTAAATCAAATGGAATTAAAGAAGTTAACAAAGAGATAGGCGTACCTGTTCACTTGAAAAGGAAAGGGAAATTAAAAGGCTGTGGGTGTCTATATCTTCACCTTTTACCCATACTGCAAATCTGAAGCATATGTACTTGTTTATACTTTATACCCATCTGCTTAATTAGTTAATTAAGTTGAAATATTATATTTTTTCTACTCCAAGCAACCCCATATTTCATGTTACTAGACGATCTTTTATGATCTTTCAAGATCACGACAGCTTGTCTTTGTCCCCTTCGCATTACACTTCAAGATCTAATTTTATGAACTTTTAAAAGTGTTGATGAACAAAAGAATGTTTTGTTTGGTGATATTCATAATATAACTTTAGAAATGAAGTTATTAACTTATTATACAAAATGACAAGAGTTTTAGTAGTTTTGAAAAATAATTATAATATTCATAACATGTTGTTCTATACATATTTAATGTTGTTTAGACTAAAAAATAGGTAAGACAATGATCTAAAAGTGTGCCGGAATATAACATATCTGCCCTCAGGAACAAACAATTTCGGAAAAGTTGATTTCATTTTCATTTATATAATCCCCTCTCAAGAATTTTCACTTAATCCTACTTCGAGAGATTGATTGGAATCACCATGAATTTCTCAAAATGCCAACAAATTATTCTCTTATATCGTAATATACTTCGTTATTAGTAAGGTTTTAAGTTTTATCAATGTTATTCTGCAATGTCAAAAGTGTCATTCGGACATGGAATTAGAAATTATAGTTTTTTCAAAGTTGCAACGGTAACATATCATCCATTTCGTTTCTACTTATGTTATATTGCACTCGTTTCAAAGAGTACGCCCTTGTTTAGATGTATGAGGCCAGAACAAAAATATTCCAGAAGATTGTTCAAAAAGAGTTTGCCATAATATGGAACATATCATCAAATTTTGGACTTGAATGTGTATTTTGATTTTAAAGTGTACAGTCTAGAAGACATATTTTCTGATTACCGTGCTCATAATATATATATATATATATATATATATATATATATGTGTGTGTGTGTGTGTGTGTGTGTGTTGAAACATACAAGAAATAGTCAAAAAGAGACTTTGAAAAAAATCATTGAGTACGAGAAAAAATCTAAAAAGGTTGTTGTGTCAAAGGTTTCTTTTGGATTCGTTGTTTGTTATAAAGATCCCAAGTACACCGAGGAAGAAACCCTAGATTAGTCGCTTCAAGACCAAAAGTAACCATGTATTTTAGACTTGGTTTAGGGTGCTTAGATGCCTACATAATATGTATAGTAAGCAATCCAAGCATCTCTTGCAAAAAAACATGTGGTAGCCAATATTTTGGCCGCAAAGTAACAACGTATATCTAGACCAAGTAGACTTACACAAGGTATTGTATTACAATTTAGGTTTTAGGTTTAGGGATTGCTTCGGAAAATATTGTATTCCGTTACGATTTAGAGTTTAGGGTTTATGTTGCACATTGTAATGTATTTTGTTATATGTGTAGGAAAAAATGATTTCCTTATTTATTTGTGTGTGTTATGTGTCTTCCTTAAATTGATTGGTATTACGTTTGAAAGCATAAACATTAAATTCAATAACATACACATTAACCTCAATTCATGTATCCTTTTGGACGAACACATTTTCTGCTTAAAATTCTATCTATGGTGATATAGATGTTTATTCTTTAACCACACATATATAAGCATCCTTCAAAACAAGAGTTCGAAATGTATATTCGGGACGTTACCAATAATGAACTTGATAAAGGTTAAGTATGACATGTCAGATTTTAAATCACTTGTCACTCATGTCACCCCACCAATGCACCACAACTTGCTCTTGTTTGCAGGGTCGATCCAATTGTTTTTGATAACCGGGGCGAAATAAGAATTTTATACCCTTATATATGTTTCGTAAATGCGTTGCTATATTTCTATTATAAGTACATTGTTATAATGGATAAAAGGTTATGTACGTTGCTCTAAAGAAAGTAAAGGACATTGCTATTTCTCATAATTTTTCAAAAATCAAAAGATGAAAGTTGAAACAAAATGTTTTTTATCATGTGAAATACTTTTTGTTTCTGTTATAAGTCATAAATTTTTTTAATGTTTGTTCAATCTATAAGAATATTTGTGCTTAATTCATGCTTTTCACTAAATTAATGTACATGCTAACTTGTTTCTTAATTCCATTTACAATAAGAGGATTTGTATGAAATTGACATTCTGCTAAAATTCACTGCTTGTGGGCATAAGTTTATTTAGAAAATAAAATGTGATCAAATCTAAATAAAAAACTTCTAAAATAAAAATAGGTTATACTTCGTATTGTATAATTTTTACTCCATTCCATGACGAAATAATTAAAGTCACATGAAAGGAATCTGATTCCTTCACGAATAGTCCAATGGAATAAACCACACCATTCCATTCCTTGTCAGATTCGTAATTCCAAACATCATCTAAGTTTTTATTATATTTGGTAACGAAGTTTGTATTTTAACCTATACACTACAGCGGAGTATAAAGGTGGTTGACCACTGCCCCTGGTGCACCCACAATAATCAATTTTTTGTCAAAAATTCCAAATATTCAAAATAATCAAGAGTTCATGTTCAATAGAAAAACTATATGGTATGCCTCATGAAGAATCACATAAAGATAAAACAAAAGTTTAGAAAGAAATCACAGGAAGTTATAAACGTGTCACAGCACCAACAAGAAACAATTCAATTTCTGAAACAATAATAAAAACACTGTCAGTGAACATTAATCAGAAATTACAATGAACAGTTAAAATAAATCAGAAATTAGAATGAGAACAGAGAAGAGAAATCGGAATAAAAGAACTTAAACTCACCCAAATCATAATCACTCGCTGTATCAGTATAGTATATCTCCAGACCTAGAAGGATAGAGCCACGAGATTAAGTCTTCATCCACCAGACCATATTAGAGAACTTAAAATCAGAACTGAGCCAGATTAGAGAAATCAGAGAAATTAGAGAAATTTGGAGCTATGTAATCACTAAGAAACTTGAAGGTACCCAAAGCAGAATATAAATTTAGAGAAAATCAGATAAATATTCAAATCAGAGTTATGATTCTTACTTTTTATTTATCAGATCGTGTAGCAATGGATTATAGGCATCTGAGCCATCGAGTTCACCAATCGACAGCATCACAACAACGTGCTTCTAGGCATTGTTTTGTTTTTCTATGCACAATTGAGACATCGAGTTCTCTAATCGTCGACTGATAGTTGTTTCACGCCCAAGTCTCGATGCCCTTTCTACCTTTTTCACGTCCCAGACATCCGAAATTAGATAACAAAACTATTTATTTTGGGCCACTATTATATATATAATATAGATTGTTGGACTGATTTTATGCCCTAAAAATATTGTTGCCATGGGCCTAAGCCCACTTCGTCCATGTATTGGACCGGCCCTGCTTGTTTGGAACGATAAAGTATATTCAAAATAAATTTACTGAAAAGCTTGACATGTTAGATTTCTGATAACTTTATGTCATTTCATGTCAATCCACCTACACTCCAGTGATTTTGTTTGAAACATGGTGTTCCAAACTAAGTGGTCATTTCGTCAATAACCCAAAAAATGATATGTTTGTTTACATCCAAACAAAAAATAGGTTTATTTTAGTTAATATTCATTTTTTTATACATAAATATTCCGAATAAAATCAAACGATTGGTTTAAGACTAAAAACTTGAGAATAATAATATAAATTACTAAAATATTTAGGTACTTTGTGTCGTTTTAGCTCTAAAAACTATATAAGAAATCATGGTTAAAGTTATAAAACTATAAGGTAGTTAGTATTAAAGTGTAAAATTAAGTCAGTTAATTATAAGTTTTTTTTTTTTTTTTTTTTTCTAAACATAATCCCAATTTTTTATTAATTTAAATATCATTGTACAACGAGTGACATGACAAACGGACAACAAGCTGCACCACTAAATCTTTTTGTATGATAAAAATAATTCGTTTGAAAACTACATATCCATAGATCGAAAATATAACATTGCTAAGCATGATACTTTATTAAGAAACTTCACTGTGTTGGTGGCGAGGAAATCAAACCTATCAATTGCATTTCATGATATGAACACAAGTAGCAACCTTTAAAGTTTAAACCAGCATTTACCCTAGCATTACCATACAGTACACTAGTACAGGGACCATACTCGTAACTTACCTTTCAACAATATTGCACGAATGAAGTGAGCCCTTGTTTTTCTGGAGCTCACTGTTCATGGTGTCAATGGCGAGCTCTACTGAAACCTCAAAATGGCTGACTTTATCCGTCACACTCGCCCTCGCTACCGTTTCTACATCCGCCGCCGTCTCCGGTAACCTATTCTCATGTTTTCATCAACTCCTTAGACAACATATCATTCAATCTGATATCTTTCAGTTTACTACTGGAGCAAGAGAAAAACGCAAGATTCCGATAATAAGCTTATAAAGGAACTTCAAAAATCTCTGAAGGAATCATTAGAAAAGTGTGCTGCTGAGAGGCAAGGCCGAATTAGAGCTCAACAGGTTAAACCCACACAAACGGAAAACCCCCTTTTTGATTTCGTAAATGTGTCCCCTGTTTCGCAATTCGCAGCTCATTTATTTTAATTTTGAACAACTATACGAACAGGATTTAAGAAAAGCAATGATCCAAGCTAAAACAGATAACTTGGAGACGATTTATCCCATGGCTACTATTGCCATCATCAGATCTTGTTTCTCTACAAGGTAATTGACATTGTTACAAGTCTCTTTTAATAAAAAAAAACTCCCAAAACAGTTCTCCATAAACAAACTCATATGAATGTGTTCATGAATTGACATGTTAACACCCAATGATTTTACTCACTTACAAATTCATCAACTTTTTTTCGAATACACAGGAATGGAACACCAAGGCAACCTCTAATTGTACCTCTTGCAAGGGCAGTTTTGACATTTGACACATCGCGGGTCCCACCATCTTCTCTTGAAGGTCTTGAAGAGTATTCCCATTGTTGGATCATATATGTTTTTCATCTCAATACAGATCTTGAAAAGTTATGGAAGCATCCATCTAGGTCTAAGTTGAAAGCAAAGGTGTGTATTATGTAATATGTATGGCTTATTCTATTTCCCTCAATTTTTTTAATTTTTTTTAATTTTAAATCTTTTTAAAATATTCAGGTAAGAGTACCAAGATTGAAAGGTGAAAAGAAAGGGCTCTTTGCTACAAGATCACCACATCGCCCATGTCCAATTGGTCTTACAGTTGCAAAAGTAAGTTAAATCATATTATTTTATTTGAGTTTAATAATAAATAATAATCATTTACAAGATATATATAAAATTTATTTATTTAGGTGGAGT